TCCAATTCTAGTGGCAGGACACAGGCAATAAAGAGTCAACGTTTCAGGGCTTCCCTGGTGGCGCAGTGGTTGAGGGTCCGCCTGCCGATGCAGGGGACACGGGTTCGTGCCCCTGTCCGGGAAGATCCCACATGCCATGGAGCGGCGGGGCCCGTGAGCCATGACCGCTGAGCCTGCGCGTCCTGAGCCTGTGCTCCGCAAGGGGAAAGGCCACAACAGTGAGAGGCCCGCGTACCTCAAAAAAATAAAAGAGTCAACGTTTCAAATTAAGAATTACAGAGTATGTTAACCAGGGGGGAAAATGGAGCAAGGGAAGGGAGGTGAGCAGTCGGGCTGCAAGTTTAAGTAGTGTGGTTAGAAGGCAACATTTCCAAAGAACTTGAAGGAGGTGAGAGAGCGTTCTGGGCAGAGGGAACAGCCAGTGCAAAGGCAGGAGTGGCCTGGTGCGTGGCCGGAGCAGGGAGAGCAGAAGAGGGCAAGGTCAGGAGATGGGCACCCCAGGAAGGGCTGGTAGCAGGTGGTCTCTTTCTGTCCGGGTCAGCCTCTGCCCCCGGAAGGGCAGGGCCTGGAGACACGGGTTGCAGTTTCTCCTCAGAGGGCTTTGCTTGGCCGGGCAGCAGGGATGGCCCTGGGCTGACCTGGGACAGCTCCCAGGCTGGGCTGGATCTCTGCTCCGGGCTGAGGCTGGGCCGCCCACGGCCTGGGGCCTCCGGCCTTTCCACCAGGTGGGTGGCAGGTGACACAGGTCTCAGGGAATGCTGCGTGGGGCTGAGAGGAGGCAGTTGGGGTCTTGAGGTACCGAACACCAGAGGAAGTTGCAGCAGGAAGGAGGAAGCCCAACCCTGGTGGCCCTGCTTGCCCCTCCTCACGGACGAGAAAGCCCCAATTCCTGATCCGGCCTCAGTGGGATTGCTGAATGCCTTTCCTGTTGTTGTTTGTTTGTTTGTTTTCCGTTTTCTTTTTCTGGGGAAATAGCCCCATCTCGTGGTCTTCCAAAGACATCACCGCTGAAGCCCACTGGCTTCTCCCTTTGGGGGCCACATCGTCTCAGGCTCTCCCCGTTCCCGCCACCTCCTCCGCATATATTCGGCTTTACTTGGGCTGGGCTCAGCGAGCGGCCTGGGAGTCTGCTCCCCTCGGTGGGGTGGACCGGCGTGGGGGGAGCACCCAGTTACCCTGGCGTCCGGGGCCTTCCCAGCTTCTTGCCGCAAGTGCTGCTACCTGAGGGACCCTCGCCTGCGTGCCCGGTGTCCTACTTTAGGGAAATCTGAGCGTCAGGGCCTAGAATCATCCTTCAGCTTCTCCCCCGCTCCGGAGGCCCACTGACGTCAAAGGGTGTCAGGAGGAGCCACTCTCCAGTTCCACAAGCTCCTTCCATATCCTTCCTTCCATTCCTTCTTGGGAGTGGT